AATTATTTCGTATGTAATTTTAGATTTCTTTATATAATTTTGTTTATAACATTATAATTATAATTTATTCGTGACGAACTTTTTTTCATTAATTTTTCCTTATTACGTTCTTAAAATATATTTTTTGTTTAGGAAAATCTCTCCCAAACAAACCTAAAAGTTATATGTTCAATCTATACTTTTATGGGTCTTCTACGAAATTCGTGAACTTTTATTGACTTTTATAATTTTGTATAGAATTGATGAAAATCTTTCATTGCCAACTCGGATGGGTGCACAATGATGTATAAAAAAACTGTACAAGTGGCTTTATTCTAGAAAATTATCGACATTTCCGAATTTATACAAAGTTATTAAATTTTAAAAGGTTATACTCCCTTATGTTTTGAAAATATATACCTTTTTCATCTTACTACCACAAAAATTGTCTGTAATCTTACATTATTTTTCAGTGTTTATTTAACTACAAACATTTTTTTTAAGGGTCGTATCTAATTTTTTATCTTTATTATATTATATATTCGTAAATTAATTATATGGAGACAATTTTTTTTTTCTAAGTCATCACTCATCAATGACAAGAAATCCATTGATGTTATTGTTTTATATGTGAATGTGATACGTAAAAGCGAGAATAAGCAATATATATGAAATAAGAATATAATCATAAGATTTAGGTGGAAATTTAGGAAGGAAAACAAAAATCACAAAGAGAAATTCATTATATCAAAGATGATTACAATATATGCGACTAATTTGAATTATATGATATGATGAAACTTTAATATACATACTAGATTCCCTGCCCTCACATATGGTTTAGAAATTACAAGTATGTTATTGCATATTTACTTCTTTATAAAATTATCATACCATAATAAGTCCAAATGAACCACATATCAATTTGTATTGTTCTAATCAATTAAAGATTGTCATTTTCACAATTGAAATTAAGTTACTTTTTATTTACATATTTCGAGATACCAACAAATACTATCTACTTATCTGTACCTTATTTTTATTTGTTTATAATTCAAATTGTTTATAAATACTTCAAAAACATGATTGATTTAGTTTGATTTTAAAAATTCAAAATCTAAATTAAACCATTTGTGGCGCCTTGTTCTAATTCAAGACCATATTGGGTTAAAATTGTGGATTTTGAAAAATTATGATTTCAATTTGACTTGTCGAATTTTGCTTACATCCCTATTCTGACATTGATAAATCGAAAACCAACCATAGATATCTTTCTAAAATTTATATTTTACTCAAGCATTCGAGATCATTCTATGTAGCGATAAATAAACAACGTATTTCATGATTTCATGGATTTTTATTTTTAATTTTTTTAAATTGCTCTCTGGAGTTCCCCATGCGTTACATTTGACTAAACAAGCTTGTCCTTATTAGAAGAGTGACAACTAGCGTGACATGAAACGCCATGCCCACCCCTATGATCCTACCTATTTCTCCAACAAACATTTCTTCACCTTTGACATAATCTCTTTTGTCTTTTGCTCAAACCTAAAGAGAACCGCTTATTTATTTACTTGCTTACCTCTTCAATCAGTTTTTTTTTTTTTATCAGACAATTATTCGAATAGTAATATAAGAAAAAAATGAAAAAGTCAAATTTGAATTGTCCCACCATTTTGCTTGTTATTATGGTTAAACAAATTTATTACTTTTAAAACTTTTGTAAAATAAATAGTTGATTTGATTGTGAATGTCCTTAATTTTTTAAGTCATTGGAATATGTCTTTGTTCTAAAGAGTATTTGAAAGTTATGCTATTTTTTGTTTAAATTTGTATTCTTATATTTGATAATGCATGTGTAGAGATTTCATTTTTGCCCCTTGTTTGGTGGATATTTTTAAAGAATAGATTTTGTAAAAATGTTGTCGAATCCGTGGTTAAAAAATACTTTATTGCTTTTACTTTTTAAGATAAAAAAAGTTTATATTACACAGAAAATGAGTAATTTTTTATTTTGAAAGTCATTTATGTACCTTTAGTTTACTTATAAGTAAATATTTTAAACTTATTAAATGTACATATCTTAATTCGATTCTTCTTCGTATCCGTCTAATCACAAAGCTGATCGATTTCGGTATAATGGTTGAAAATAGGGTCCAACCAATGTTTAGCATAAACAAATAAGTATACAAATTATTACAATTCAGTTTATTCAATGTTTTCATATTATGTACATAATTTTATAAAATTTTTATTTTTATATATATTCTCTAACAATTTTTATTTTTTCTTTAACATTATCAATTATCTTACTTTAAAAATATTAGTCATGTCATTTATTCCGTATATAAGACGTGCAAGGCACGTGTTTACTACTAGTTGAATAAAAAATTAGGGAGGCTCATCATGAATAAAAAGTAATGGGCCCCATAATGTGAGGAACTATAAACCATAGTGTAGTCCAAGCAAAATTCATAATTTAAAAAAATTCCGTAAATGAGGCATGATTCTTAATTTAAGGGATCAAGATTAGATTATCACAGTAAGCCAACAGACATAGTGATGGCAAAAAAACTCGTTCTGTCTCGAATGGGGCCAAAAAACCTTCCCAAACAGGTTAGCAGGGCGGGGCGTCCCGTCGCAGGGCATGGGGTGGCGTGGGGCGAGGATGCCCCGCCCCGTGAAAGGAAAGAAAGATTAAAAATAATTTTATTTTTAAGCAATTCACTCGTTAAAAATTCATTTTGAAATTTGTATTTTATTTTCTAATAATAACATAACTCGAAATTTTGAAAACGTAAAAAAAAATATAATAATAATAAAGAGGTCTGAACAGGGCAGGTGCCCCCGTCCCGAACTCGTCCCGTTGTCATCCCTAATTAGACGGTCCTTTAGATCAACTAATTACAGTCAATTCACAATGAATTAATCGGACAGTCCCGTCCCGTTGCCATCTCTAATCAGATGGTCCTTTAGATCAACCGATTACGGTCAATCCACAATGAATTCATCGGACGCAGATAATTATTGCTCACTGACCGACGGAGCAGTTAAGGGAATGGGGACAAAGTACCCAAACCGGCAGGCAAAACTGCAGATGAAACCAGAAATGCAACGGGACCCATGCACCCCTTTTAATGTGTGACCCATATAAGAAAATTACAATAATCGTTCCTGTCCGGATCTGATCCGCACACACCTTCGCACGTGCTGTGTGTGGTCCCCACAGACCCTCCATTTCCCAAACCGGACGCTCTTCAGACAATCATCATTGGAAAGGTGCCTTGGACTTGACTGAACTGCTGCGTACGGTGAGGAGTGGGGTCCAGTACCAGCTATTGCAACGTGGCGGAGACCCAGCATGTCAGTTACAAACTCACAGCCACGTCAACCACATGAATACTATGCACCATGAATTTCCGAAATTGTCCCTCAAATCTCAAATTGAGAAGAACTTGTATGGAATGGTTCCATCTATATGCACAGAAGATATGCACTCGTATTATCGTACATCGGATGCTGATCGGATAAGAGAGAAAAAGGGATTCGTGAGCAAGTTCTCCCTACCTTTGAGATATCACAATTGCGTTACACTAACATTTCAACTTACATATTTGTGTTACCAACGAATGACAGATGTTAGAAGTGTCAATGAATCAAATCGAGTTGAGTTGAGCTGACTCGGTCCATGAACTCGGCTTGTCCAAAAGTCGAGCTGTCGAGCCCATTGGACTCATCCAAATTTTTTTGGGCTCAGTTCACATGACCAGCCCATGGGTTGAGCCCAGATGAGCCAAGAATGTGAATTGATAACATTTCAACTTACATATTTGTGTTACTAACGAATGACGAATGTTAGAAGTGTCAATGGATCGGATCGAGTTGAGCTGATTTGACTCAGTCCATGAGCTCGACTTGTCCAAAAGCCGAGCCATCGAGCCCATTAGGATCATCCAACTTCTTTTTGGGCTCCGCTTGCATGACTAGCTTATAGGGCGAGCCTAGTGCCTAGACGAGCCAAGCGGGTGAGCCAATAAACTCCCCCTCCCTCAGCCCAATTGTCTTCCTTACGTTACGAGATTCAATTGAGTCAAAATCTGATGAACCAAATTTAAAAAATACCTCCAACATTTTTTTTTTTTTTGCCATTAATCCACGTTACAGAAGTATAACTGTTTAAGTGATGAAATTTTTTTGGCAATTTTAATTCAATTTGATCGTTGTCTCATTAAACTGTAAAAGAATATATAAAATGATGTATAATAAGACTTAAGTGATTTGAAATTCAAATTATGATAATTTAACTGAAAAATTTGGAGCGTCTCCAATGTATTTAACTACCTTTATTGATGTTTAATGAGTAATCAATTATATTTAAGATTATTCTTCAATAAATTTTATCTATACACCCCAGTACAAATCTTTCATATACCCTAAAAAAAAATAGAGTTAAAAATAAAAGTATAATCAAATAAATTGTTAACACACTATGTCGACGGAACCTCTAAATCTAGGCAAAATCTAGATAATGTCTACCTTTATTTTCAATTCTTGTTACACAATTTAATTGATATTAGAGTCCTTGTTCAATATTATTTGAGACACAATAAACTACTTATTTTGCTTATATGATAATTTTTTTTAAAATAGCCTATATTAGCTCATAAATGCTATTATCAAGGGGCTGTTCGATAGTGATTATGATGATTTAATTTTTAATCGTTAAAGAGAAAGTAAGTCCTACTTATGAGCGAGAAAGTAAAAAATAACGATTAAAATAGTAAAATAACGGTCAAATAAATTGATTTTTTGAAGTGAAAAATTGCTATCGAACCGGATAGATAGGAAGAATCTTGAATTGAAGGTGATTTACGTTTTTGGCGAATATGGACAAAAAAAAAAAATAAAAAAAAAATAATGGGAGTTCACCAAGATTTTGCATTTATTTATAATCTTTTAACCTTTACTATTTTTTAATGGTGATTTGCTTTATTTAACCTAACGGATGAGCTGAGCAAATATGGATGACTCTTTCTCTCCCTCATATTTTTGACTTCTCGTTTTCCCAAAACCTGAAGCCTTAAATAATTCCAGCACCAACTCATTTTCCCTACTCACTCCTTCCTATTATCTCTCTCTCTCTCAGAAAACAAAGGCAATAGAGAAAAATATCAGAGTTCCAATGGCCATTGAAACAGGGCATCTCAATGTTTTTCCTCCACAACTTATCTCAAACGGGTACGCTTTAAGATCATTTTCTCAGCAAAAATTTCTTGATCTGTTTCAATCTCTCTGTTTTCTATGTATTGATTTTCTGTTCATCCTACAGAGATTTGATGAATTCTTCCAACCATGGCAACAACGCCTTTGCAGTCAATCCGCAGACGGGCTCAACAGGATTCGGTTTCCGCCAAGCCCTGCCGGGAAATCTTGTTCCGATTTATGACTCCCAGGCGAAAACGTCGCTGATTCCCGACAGTAGTATTCGGAAGCGTGCTAGGGATTCAATGGATCGGTTTTATGAAGTATCGAATTCCAGCCCGGCGACCCAGAAATTTAATACGATCTCGCAGTTCCCATCTTTCGCCGGTGAAGGCGTTTTGCATCAAATGCAGCAGCACCACTTGGAAATCGATAATATTATTTCTCGACATGTGAGTCTTTAATTTCTGTTTCCATGCATGTGATTCTGTGCATGCGAGGAATGCATGAATATTTATTGAGTTAATTTTACTTTCTTAATTTGCAGACTAAGAAAATTGGAGTGGAACTGGAAGTGAAGCAAAAGCAACACACAAGAGCTGTGTTAGCAACAATAGGCGAGACAGTGACGAAGAAATTAAAGGAAAAAGATGAGCAGATTCAGAAATTGGCCAAGTTGAATCTGGTTCTTCAAGAAAGAGTAAAGAGTCTTTATGTAGAAAATCATTTATGGCGAGACATGGCACAGACAAATGAGGCCACGGCTATGTCCCTGCGGACAAATCTTGAACAAGTCCTGGCGCATGTTAGCGAAGAGCACCACTCCGGTGGAGGCGTAGGTGGTGGCCCACCTGAGGTGGTGGAGGAAGACGCCGAGTCTTGCTGTGGCAGCAGTGACTATGGAAGGGATATCCAAATTGTCAACGAAGATGCAAACTGCCGGAGAAACCGGCTGCTCAGTGACCGGACGTGCAAGAGATGTGGGGAAAGAGAGTCGACGGTTTTGTTGATGCCGTGCAGGCACCTATGCCTTTGCTACATTTGTGGGAGTGGGTGCCATGGCCTCAAAGCTTGCCCTGTGTGCAACTGTACCGTGAATGGCACATTGCACGTTAACACGTCTTCTTAATCAATCCAGCGGAATACATAAATAGGAAGAGGAAGAAGGAGAAGAAGATAGACACTTTTTAGTTGTACATTCTTTCAAAATCTTCTGTAAATTTCTTTAATTAAAAAAAAAAAACTTCTACACTATTTCTTAACACCCCATCTGTATGTAAACTATTATATAATTGTTTATATTAGGTTCAAAAAATTCGGTGGAGCCAACACGAGCAACTGTAGTGGCTCGTCGGGTGCTGGCTCCACCCCTGATTACAAAGAGGTATTAATTAAATTTATAGTAAATTTTATATTGAGTTCAATTGTATGAAACATATTTGAATAAAAATGCATATATACTTAAATGGACATAGAATTATTCGAGAGTGAAATTGTTGTAAAAGTGTGAAAGGGTATATTTCACATTGGTTTTGCCTTTCATAACAAATTTTATTGAGAGATGCTTTATCTTTTTCTTGATATTATACGCAATAGTTGTTGAATAGTCAGTAAAAATGGTCAACTTTAACACCTTTTCAAGTTTAATTTTGACCCTATATGGTTGTGGTCCGTTTTTTAAATTATTAATGGGTAGTGGGCATTGATTACGAATCACGAGCGTTTGTGCTCATTAATGGTGGTGTAAAGGGGATTATTTGACGTCAATATGTTGAAAAAATCGAAACAGTAGGACGTATTGGTGGGATCAATATTCATATAATTGATGGGGCGGGGTGGTGGTGCAAGGTGATATGTCAACGTATAAGATGCTTAAAAAAGTAGAATTGTTTTTGGCAGTTTGATTCCTGCATAGGTAATTAAAGGCATTTCTCCTAACTTTTCAGGCAATGTAAAGTGATGTGAAAGCAACAGTATTTCATATGTTGTACCATTTTGAAATCCCCTTGTCAACTTATAAGAATGCCCTACCTTAAGTGGTGGTAATGTGCTGAGGCGAGCCGGTTCAATCCATCTACCCACAAGCTCGGCTCGTCAAAGTGAAGTCGAGCCGAGCCGGCTCTGCCCATCTACCCACGAGATTGGCTCGTCCAAGTGACGATCCGAGCTTAGCTCGTGCTCAAGGGTCGAGCCACGAGCTCGTGAGCTCACTAGTCAAGTCCACGAGCTCAAGATTTTTTTTTTATTAATTTTTTTTAATTTTTTGACTTTTTTGTTCACATTTTTGAGCTTTAGGTTTGTGGACTCATAAGCTGTTTGCGAGCTCGGTTCGGCTAGTCGAACGAACCCCCACTCAAGCTTAGGCTTGGGTTCGTCTTGAAATGAGCTTGAACTGTCCATGGGTCGACTTTTGACGAGCTGACGAACTACTCAGCCATTTTGCCACCCCTACCTACCCTTTTAGCCATAACTAATCTTTGTTTGGAAGTTTGAATATAAAATTTGCACCATCTTTGATAAATTGAGCAAAGTAAATCACGAAATTCTACGCTCTGACTAAAGAACACATAAATAAAGAAAAATGAATGGAGCAAGAAGAGATAACCAAACATTTACTGCACCAAATAGTGGAAACTCAGCATACAGCAACAGTCGGGCCAATGTAAGGAAAAATCTGGCTGTTGAAAAAATCCAAAGGATAGCTGAAGAATTAAAGGCCTTAATGGAAAAAATGCGTTACTCTATATACAATAACTGGAAGATAGGATTGTAAGGAAAGATAAGATCGCAGGTAACATCCAGTCCTTAACCTCTTCAATTACATCTTTCGAGCCTAGGATTAAAATTTCAAGTATTGAGGAATAAATGGTCGTGATCCTTGCAACAATAGCGAGTGAAAATCGTCATCACATACTCCTGAATAATGAAAGTACTATAAACGTACTATATGAGAAAGCATTTGATTGATACGAAAAAATAACCTTTGAATTCGTGTGTTTGCTCTTCACTACTTTATCATAATGCTTAGAGAAATATCTATAATATTCCTCTCCATTTGAAAAAGGCGTACAAATCAAATATCGCCCTCTCAAATAACTATTTCTCCTCTTGTTCTAATTTAAGCTTCTAGACAAGCAAAATTAGGAGTTGAAACTCATAGTTGGGTGAGAGGATTTCTTAATTGTATTTACATTGATATTTGATTGTAATTGTTTGTCAATAAAATTATTTGATCCAGTTTTTATTGTCAAAATCGTTAATAAGGCGTCATCAATTGTGATTTTAATGAAATTTAAAATATTATAAATTCTAATTCATTTCATGAATTTGAATTAATTTCTGTAGTATTCATAAGAATCTCATTGAAAAATGTGAAATTTCAAAAGATTTTTTTTGTTGGGACACCTAAATTTACAAGAAATTCTAAATTCAAGGGGGTGTTTGGTGGTGATTTTAAGCCAATTGAAATCAATTTTGTGACCGTTATTTCACTATTTCAACAGTCATTTTTGAAGTATTCTCTTACATGTAGAACTTACTTTTATCTCCAACAGTCAAAAAATCAATTCTCAAAATCCCTACCGAACACCCTCTCACTAAATCCTCAGTTGATAACACACCCCTAAATTTATTTCATAACGTATCCATTCTCATACCTTGACGTATTTCTTAACTTCAAAGAAAAGAGGAGGATTGTGCTAAGTTGACATCGACTCAAATTAATAGATAAAGCTAATTTTATACCATTTCAAAAATGCCTTCCAGCTCAGATAAACTCCTGATTTTGACTAAGCAAGGCTGCTCCTGCCATTAGAGTTTCATGGTGGAGTTTTCTCGTGATGGGATGGGCATATTACAGGTCTAATGAAGACAAAAATGTCCACATTTGCCTCGTTACACACTTCAACTCTGATGGCTCTTGAAAGATATATTAGTCATATTTGTAGGAATTTCTTCTTGACTTAACTTTGCCACTTTTATCTCCCAGCAGAGCCTTTTCTAGATTCTTCAACTTTTCATCATCACATGAATTCTCTTTAAATATCAGTCATTTTATATAAGGTCTATTTGAGTCGCATTATTTCAAAAAAATATATTTTTAAATAATAATTTAATATCATTTCAACTACACATTATTTAATAAAATAATATTATATGCATATTAATTTTTTTTTTATTTTTTAACTACACATTTCTCCTCAATACATTATTCAAGATTGCATTATTACCAAAATAATGTAACTCAAATACCCCCATATTGTCATATTGATGTCCATAAAAACGGATTGAATAGCTAGAAAAAACATACCGGTCAAAATTATTGGTCTCTACAAGTTTTCGTTGAAATTTTATTATTTTGCTTTTTCTTTGTCATGTTTGAGGACTATAATATTGACCTTAACACGGGTCGACAATATTTGTGTATACTGTTTAATGAATGAAAGAATTCGATTAAGACGTATGATATTGATACAGAAGATTTTGCATTTTAATGTAATTTGGCAGTTAAACGTTGAATAATGCTGTGTGTACAGAAGGGTTTCACAGAATTCCTCCAATTTTCTTGAATTTTTATGAGGTGGGTCCCGCATGGGGGGAACTCTTGCTGTGTGTGTTCTGAAGGGGTTATGTGAAACCCTCCCTGTACACACAATATTATTTGTTAAACGTTAGAAAAATGAGAGTTGGTCTCCTGACTAAAAACGGCTCAAACAAGTTAGGAATCAAACAAAATTTTTAGTAGGGCCTTCTAGAGAAGAACAAATTAACAAAGCAAAGTGACCCCTAATGGCATCATACATGGTACCTAATGAAAGTAAAATAAATATCAATCAGTATAGATCCAGACGTAATTATCGACGACTATACTATTAATATGTGAATAACGATGACAACCCCATTGTGATTTTCGATGATGCTTCGATCATTGTTCATGAATCAATAAGCATTTATTCTTTATTGCCTTTTATTTCTTTAATATTTCTGTAGTAATTTGAGATTTCTTATTATTTATAGTATCACAATCATTATTTACTAAAATCTCCATCATCAAATTAAATTTATTGAAGTTACTATTAAATATTAATAAAACAAAATTTGATCGAAATCTTTAATTAAGTTTTAGAGCCTGTTTGGTATAGCTATTAATCCAATTAAAATCAATTTTTTAGCTGTTATTTTACTATTCCACCCGTCATTTTTGAATTCTTATTTCATAGGCAGGACCCACTTTATTTCTAATAGTCAAAAAATTAATTATCAAAATCTCTACCAAACAAGCACTAAATTTTTATTTTACCAACGACAATTTTCTGAAAGTAATCATTTTAGTTTTTATCTTTATTATTTTATTTAACATAAAAAAAATGTGTCGGTAAACTATATCTATCTATCTATATATCTTTTTCTTTGAACTGATTGATGACAAAAAATAGTTAAACATTAAGTTATTATTTTTTACATGATGATTGTTTTTGAGAAGCTCTAATTTGGCTTCTTTGAAAAGCTCTATATTCGCGTTTAATGGAAAATTGAAAACTGTATCAATTATGCTTATATATATATGCGCATTTGTGTGTAAAATTATAAATCTCATATCCTAATACTATTTACAGTAGCTCACTATCATACTCGCTCTATATAACATACATATGTTGGTTAGTGATTTGATGCATTAATTTGTATATAATTTAAAGATTCCTTTTAAATTTATATGGCATTTTTTCTTACTTTTTATTTATTATTACATTTCTTTTGTTAAGATACATTAATATATTTATTTATGTTTAAGACGAAACATATTTGATTCATATTCTAACCTCTTACACAAATAAATTTTGATCAATACATTTTATCGTAAAGAGATTGTTTCAAGGCAATTTATTTAAATATTTAATCTATAAATTTTACATAATAAAGAAATAATACGTAATCAAATAAGTATTTTGTATGTATGATTAATAAATAAAGAAAATTTTTCTAGTTATGCTTTCAACAATCAATTTATTGTTCACATTATTTATTTATTTTTTTGGGTTTTTTTTTTTTTTTGTCAACAATGAAACGATCATCAACATTTTGGTGCCAACTCTTTTTTAAAAAAAATTACTGATAAAAGCTCAACTGATAAAAGTTTTACACAATAACCATGTCAAAGGGAAAGTAATTTAGATTTTTTTTTAAAAAATAAAAAAAAAAGAAAGAAAAAGAGAAAATAAACGAAAATATAAAAATAAAAGGAAG